TATCAAAGATTAAGCTAATAAAAACCAACTGGCATTGTCGCCAAAGTTCAAAAAAAAAAAAAAAAAAAAAAAATAAGAAGAAAGGAGAAATTTAAGAAAAATAGTTCTATTATTTAGAATATGTAAAATGTTATAGGTTAGATTAGTTGACAAGGTCTAGTCTATTTGTTTAATAAACTATATTATTTTAAAATTTGTAGTTAAATAATTAGAACTATTAATATTTGGGTTAGAAGCAGAAAAATATTAGTTAAAGACCAAAGATTGTTTTAAAGTTGTTAAATTCATATACAAATAGAAGTACCCAATAGGTCAGTATTGTTAAGTTGTTTAAGAATATTAGAAATGTGATGTTGTACTACTATATTTGTTAAATAACTAATATAACAAATTATAAGTAGTTATAAAAATAGTTATTAAGATATTAAAGTAATTTAACTTATATTTAACTTATATTTTAATGCTAATATTTATTTTTGATACTATCAAATAATAGTAACAAAACAGATTTATAATCATAATATAAAAAATAAATCTAAAATATTAAAAAAAAATTTTATTTACTTATATTTAACTTTGATATAATACTAATATTTATTTTTTATACTACTCTATATCTATCAAATAACTGTAATATAATAAATTATAAGTAAATATATAAAAGATAATTATTAGAATATAAAAAGCAACCTGTTGTTTATTTTTTATATATTTATTTGACCTGTATTTATATATTGTACTGCTATATAGTACTATCTGTTATGTTGTATTTTAAATCTAAAAAAAATATACAAATATTATTATTTTTTTTAATCAAATAAAGAATAAAATGTTTTTTAATATAATAAATTTTTTATATAATAAAAAATTTCTATATGTTGATGACTATAATAAAGAACTATATTAAGATATAACTATATTAATAAATAAATAAAAAATTACTTATATAATATTAAAATTTAGAAATATTAACAAAAGAAACTGTTAATATTATACCAAGTAAGAAATTATTTCTTAATTTGTCTAACAGGTAAATTTGACTACTAAATTTTTTAATAAAATTTTAAATATTAATTTTAATTAAATACTTTTTATTTAAAAAATATAATTTAGAATATATTTTATTAATTCTATTAAAAAAAATTATTAAAAAACTTTTTTGTAATAAAGATTTAAAGCTTTTGTTTTAAATTTTTTATTATAAATTTTTTTTTAAAATTTCTAAAATTTTATATGTTTTTGTTTATATAAAATTTTTTTATTTCTAATACAAATCTTAATTTTTACAAGTAAATTATAAGAATTATAATAATAAAAGTTGTAATCTTTTTTATAAATTATAATATTGGAGGTTGAGTCTTATAACCTAGTGTTTAAATGCCTTTTTCTACAAATAAGATCAATAGTTCAATTCTAGCTAGAAGTAAAAACTCTGTAATCTACAGAAGCATATAAATGTACATAAAGTTCTGTACCTAAGTTTATGTAATTAGAAAATCAGTACATAAAGAAGTTTTCAAAAAGAAGTTTTTTGATATAAAAAGTTGATGCTCAATTCAAGAAAAGTGATAAATATATCAGAAATGAAGAGAAGATACACTAGCAGGTAATATAGTGAACATAAAAGAAATCTATAAAAAAGAAATAAACTTACTAAAATTCAAACATCTCTGGCACTAATATTGGTTTTAGTAAATACAAAATATACTGAAGTTAGATAAAATCTAAGAGTTAATCTTGATACTATACTTAATAAGTCTATGTCAAAAATAAATTTAAAGGACTATGGATACTTATTAACATTCAATATAGTTATACTTAGATATAAATAATAATTAAATAGCCCTAACCTAATATGTTACTATAATAGTAATATAAGTATTATATATATATGCAAAATAGTATTAAAAATCAGAAAGTTTAAATAGAGAACTCAGAGGTGAATTTTAGGTATGATGTCTAATAGGTAACTTATAAACAAAACACTTAATTAGATAATGATTAAAGTTATACATATGGTTAGTTGTACTTTTGTTAATAGACTATATATAAACATGTAATCATATATTACTTAATAAAAAACATACAAGCAAAATTACTACTTTAAAATTAAAAAAATAAATTATAATATTATATTAATCTAAAACTAATATTTATAAAGTTTACTAAGAATTAGTAAATATTTTTTTTAATTAAATTTTTTTCTAAATTTGGTTATTTTAAATTATAAGCAACTTATATTTTTTTCTTATAATATAAAATTAAATACTACTATAATATAATTCTTATTTCCAAATATTATTATATCAAATTTTATTTAAATATTTTAAATATTAAATTAGAATCAATTTTATGATATTTAAGCAGACAAATTTGCCTGCTATAGGAGATATCCATTACACTTAAAGTTATATATAAATAATTTTAGTTTAACTAATCATCTTGCATGAATGACAAGGTAAAGAATTATATCCATAACATATATTTTAAAGCAAACTCAAAGCAAATAATTTTATTATTAATTGACTATATTATGTAAAAAATTAATGTGTAATATTATGGTTCCTTTTGTTAGAAATATTATTATAATAAGACATGAATAAATGTTATTAAGAAACTGCTAAAAAACAATAATTAAATACTAATAAAGTATACTGGTATTATATAGTTGTGTTTATTGCTAATACAGTCAACCCTCTCTATAATTATGCAGTTGAGATAATAGTAACTTTTTTTAAAAATATGCTTATAAAGCGGTTGTGCTTATATAGAGGTTTTATATATATTTTTATAGTAATTTGTTTAACAATATTAGGTGCTTATATAGAGGTGTGATTATATAAAATGTGACTATATAGATGTCTGACTGTATATTTAACTACAGCAGTTCAAGAATGTATTAAACGAATCTTTTATAATTCTCATTTATTATTAATAATTATGATTTGTATTTTGTTAAAACTAATCTTTACTATTTGCGTTTTTGATTACAAGTACGTATATTATGACCTTCTTTGCCACAATTCCCACAAGTAACTGTTCTAGCAACAGAACTAGTAAATGTTTTAGCAACAAAACCACAAGTACGTGCATTATGCCCTTCTTTACCACAATTTCCACAAGTGACTGTTCTAGCAACAGAACTAGTAACTGTTTTCGCAACAAAACCACAAGTATGTGAATTATGTCCTTCTTTACCACAGTTCCCACAAGTGACTGTTCTAGCAACAGAACTAGTAAATGTTTTAGCAACAAAACCACAAGTACGTGAATTATGTCCTTCTTTACCACAATTCCCACAGGTGACTGTTCTAGCAACAGAACTAGTAACTGTTTTAACAACAAAACCACAAGTACGTGCATTATGTCCTTCTTTGCCACAGTTCCCACAAGTTACTGTTCTAGTAACAGAACTAGTAACTGTTTTAGCAACAAAACCACAAGTATGTGCATTATGCCCTTCTTTACCACAGTTTCCACAAGTAACTGTTCTAGCAACAAAACCACAAGTACGTGCATTATGCCCTACTTTACCACATTTTCCACAAGTAACTGTTCTAGCAACCGAACTACAAGTACGTACATTGTGCCCTTCCTTTCCACAGTTTCCACATGTAACTGTTCTAACAGCCAAACTACAAGTACGTACATTATGCCCTTCTTTACCACAGTTTCCACAAGTAATTGTTCTAGTGCCGCCATGTTGGTTATAGTGGTAATCATTATTATAAGATATAATATTCGTAATGAATTGAGAGGCTAAATCAAGATGAGAAACAAATTTAGAAATTTTAGGTTAGTACGTATTACAGAAAAAATCATAAATTAGCTAAGATCATCAACAATCCTATATTGTATATAATTATTTTTTTTATCTTGGGCCCTTATTTGTGATTGTTTTTCATTCTTGATCTCATTTATAAATTCCTATTAAATTTTACATATAGTACCTACATACTAATTATTAGAAAAAATACGTTAGAATTCTATTTTTTTTAAAAAAAAAAAAACCCCCCCATATGAGTGCGTGAGAGTGAAAACCTGGAAACCGATCATAGTAAATCATTAAATAGATTTCAGGTTTTCACTCTCACGCACTCATACAATTTTTACTTACTATCTATATAGTATCAAACAACATTGTAAATTCATGTTTGTTAATTAATTATTTATTTAAGAAATACGTTATCAAAAGTTTTGTACTCACAATCTAAAAATTGATAAAGAAAATTTTTAAAATAAAATTTACAAATTTGATAATGAACCACTTTAAATATTTGTATAAATTATTATACACAAATATTGAAGATATTTGTTGAATCTACAATAAAAGCTTGAGGTAACAAATTCTTTTATAACGGATATTTTAATATATAGTTGAGAAAATTTTTATATTCCAAAATTATATGTTTGAACATATAAATCGATCTGCCCTGTGGACTTTGTTACATCGAGCTTTGATTGTACATCATAAAGTTTTTATCTGCATTATTTCATACTTACATTCTTAGAGTTAATTGAAATATGTACAAAATATGCATTAATAATATAATAATGAACAATCATTATAGCGCATTATTAAAAATAAACTTGTACTTACCATTATTTGGTAAAGATGCAGTAGAAGTGGCTGATTCTGTGGTATAAGTAGCTGATGTTGTAGAATTAGCTGATTTGGCAGTAAAATTAGCTAGTGACATAGCAGAAGTGGCTGAGGTTGATGTAGTAAAAATAGTTGGCGTTGTGTAAAATGTAAATGGTGTTTTCGTGTTAAAGGTAGTTGTCGTTTCGTTAATCCCATCTCCGTTAGTAGTTGTAATATTTTTTGGTGATGATATGGTAACTCGAGAAGGAGAAACAACAGCCTTATTTGAAGCTATAATTTTCGTCATTTCTTTCCATAATTCAGGATTAAGAATTCGATGATATGGTTGTACTTTTTTAAGGATATCTTCACTAGCAATTTGAAAGTATTTGATATATGGTAGATAATTTTGGAGTGTGGTTTTCAGAGTTAAAAAATTTGCATCAGACCATCCTTTAGGATTAGAATCTAGATTAGCGTTTTTGGAAATTCCCCATTTAATAATCTGTTCCCAAATCTTTCCTTCATCTGTATGTACGGCCTCGAGTTTCAAGAAAGAGATCAAGGCTTTTCCTGAAATACTTGTAAATTCTTCTGAATCCAAAAGAACACTTGGATGTTTAGAGATAATATCATTACAAAACTGTTGCAAAACTTTAAAGTCATCATTTTCGTAACTCATTTTATAAACTTTAATAAAATTCAGACATATCCACGATGCATGATTCTTAACTAATTGTATTTGTGTAGTATTAACTAATTCTTCAAGGTCAAATTGCTTAGCAGTAACTAAAAGATTAAAAATTGTAGACGCGTCGACTTCATCGAACATAGCTATACCACTGTAAATATACCTATACAATGAAGAAAAAGCTCAGGATTATATTTGATACAAATTAAAATCAAATTTATTGATAAAAATATAAACCTACTTGATGATAATCTTAAAAACATTAAAAGAAATATATGGTTCACTAATTTTTTTAACATTTGTTTCATCGAAATTTGCCTTGCTTAACTTGTTATGAAAATAAGAGCATCGAGAATTCAAGATAATTGAATGAGCCTTAAATATTTGACGGTTCGATGTTTCACCAACTTCAATTAATACGTTATAATCTTCTCCATTTTCGAGAAGATTTGTTAAATCTTTGGAAAGTTTATTAAAGAATATTTCCATTTTTTACAAAGTATTAAAATATTAGTTATATTTGACAATCAAAAATACGTGCAGTCAAAAAAAAACCAAAATTCTTAGAAATAATGCCGATGCACAAAAAGCAAAAATCAAAACTTTATCTTTGTTTCCAAATAAGAAGTTGTTTAATACGCATTTTCCTGCTCTGTACTGTACATGATACCGGTAATATCACGTTTTCATATTTATTATTCCGTACAACTGTTAAGTCGGATTTACTTATTTGTGCCGGTAATACAATCCAAAAAAGGAAATTTGATTTTATAAATAAACAAATTGCGTAAAACA